AAGGAGATTAGTGTCTAATGACATAGGTGAATAAGTTTTTGAGATGAAGAAAGGCCATCTTTCATAAATCTTACAAAATCTTTATCTCTTGTCGTCTCACTTTGAGCTTGATGATTTCTTGCATGATAACCTAGACTAGGATCACTCCTCACACTTGGGGGCGGAATGTACAATCCATGAATGGTCGATGAAACTCTTAAATTTTTCTCAAAAAAAAAAATCCCATCAATGATCCTAGAAATAAAAAAAGAAAGAAAAAAAAGATTCCTATAGTAACGAAAAGAAAAAGGGTCGAGATGGGAGTCAAGATCCAAACAAAAAAACAAAGAGAGTTAAGACTAGAAAACAATGTTAACAATCAAAATGACAAAATCCATGTGGCAAGCCTAAAAGGAAAGTTTTTCTCATCGCAGTTCAACTAACGACTAAAGTGATAAAGTCCAAGAGACATGGCCTAAAGAGATTTTCATGGATAACAAAGTGATCCTATGTTAGAAAACCCTTAAACACTTTTTGAACCTTTATGTCCTTCTTTCATAAGCCCGAACCATAGCCTATATTACGTGCTTGTACAAGCCTTTTCTAATCAAAGGCAATTCATTTAAGTTGTTGGATACTAATCTCAAAAGAAAAAGGAGACATGATCGAGTCATTGTGTTGTTCGTCATTCTTTAGGACTTTAAATCATGAGTCTTCATCAACTAACTTGGGGAAAAAATAAACGGAATCAAAATATTCTAAGAAAAAATTATCCTTCAAAACCTTTTTTTTTCATTTACTCAAAATGTACTTATCTTGGACCAATTACCTTCAAATGCCGGCTTTTATGCAAACTTTTCATTACCCAAACATTTTCTTTTTGCTTGCTTAGCCTAACTTTCTTGAAGAAATTGCATCATACCATTTGAATGTCATATTTTGACTTTTGATCAATAAATTTAAATATCTTCATGAATGAAAATACTTTCATCGGAACATCTCTACATTTTGTTCAAATAATCTGAATTGTTTTAAGAGAATTTTTCAAGTATATGGCTTGATCCATAAAAGCCAAATGCCTATTTCAATTATCCTTTTTCAAAAAAAAAAACAAATTCAAGACTAATTTGCAAAATGTGGCGCAAGCATCGGAAGATAAGAATTAAACCCAAGCCATGATTATGTTGAGAGAACTATAAATGTTTGATCTTGATCAAAGCATGGGAGCATCTCGTGGCCAAATCGAATGGTAATCCGTTAAATTGAGAATACTTGAGGGTAAGACCAAGAATCTAGTAACTCCAATCGAGTTACCGGTCGGATGATGATGGTATTACTATAGTAGGCTGGAGGAACGGAGGTCGAACAATAAGTTTTTAAGCATAAATCAAAGCGAGTTAAAGCCATCGAAGCCGGAGGGCAAAAAGCGATCCTAAGGGAGGACAATGACTCGATCAAAGTTTGACAAGCAATCAAAGTAATTGGATATAGCTTCCCGAGGGAGGATCACGACATGTGGTGGGTTATTACCTCGGTCGGTTGGAGAAAGTCAAAAAAAAGAAGAAGAAGAAGAAGAAGATAGACTCGAGTTTCATAATGAATAGTGATTCAAGCTTGGGGGTAAGGAAATTTCGACGGTATTGCGAGATAAAATTCTATACGGACTTCAAGAATGAGGCACCAACGGGGGAGTTGAGTGTTGAAAAGATGGGCGACCTATGATTCTCTCGGGTAAGGAACTAACCATTGCTACATTTTAGGAATGACGGCTAAAAGGAAAAAATGGAGCAATCATTCAAGTTAAAAAAAAAAAGAAAAAAAGAGGTTTACGTTTCCCCACACACATTCTTTTAGGTAAGGTTGCCTAATTTAGTCAATCACTTAGGTAGAGTTACCTAACGTGCATTTTTAGGCAAGGTCGCCTAATTTAGTGAATCAACTTAGGTAGAGTTACCTAACGTGCATTTTCGAGCAAAGTTGTCTAATTTAGTGAATCACTTAGGTAGAGTTACCTAACGTGTATTTTCAAGAAAAGTTGTCTACTTTAGTCAATCATTTAGGTAGAGTTACCTAACGTACATTTTTAGGCAAGGTTGCCTATTTAGTCCATCGTTTAGGTATGGTTGCCTAATGATTATTTTTCGGGAAAAGTTGTCTAATTCAACATTCAAGCAAGGTTGCTTATTTAGTCAATTGTTTAGGTAGAGTTACATAACGATCATTTTTCAAGCGAGGTTGCCTAATTCATCATTTAGGCGGGGTTGCCTAGTGACCATATCATTTTTGGTAAAGTTGCTCGTTTAGTCAATTGTTTAGGTAGAGTTATCTAACAATTTTTTTAAGCGAGTTGCCCAATTTTAGTTCATCATTCGAGCAAAGATGCTTCTCTCATTTTAAGGCAAGGTTGCCTATTTAGTCCGTCGTTCGGGCGGGGTTGCCTAGCAATCACAACATATTTAATTTTTAGGGCGAGTCGCCTTTCAATTTGGCCCCGCATTGCATATTTAATTTTCGGGGTAGGCAGTCCTTCAATTTGGCCATGTACTTGTATATTTAATTTTTATGGCGAGCCGCCCTTCAATTTGGTCCCACATTGCATGTTTAATTTTCGAGGCGAGTCGCCCTTCAATTTGGCCATGTACTTGTATATTTAATTTTTATAACGAGCCGCCCTTCAATTTGGCCCCACATTGCATGTTTAATTTTCGAGGCGAGCCGCCCTTGAATTTGGCTATCCCATTGCCATTTTACTCTTGATTTTAATCATATATATCAAATTAAAAAAAAACCAAAAACAAAAATTTCTTTACAAGCTTATTAAACAAAGTCATTGCAAAATATCCTTTTCATTTGACTTTACACCATAAGCATTGTAAAAAGAGGACAAACTGTAATAACAAAAAAAAACACTTCCATTTTTTTATTATATTATTATTATTTTAAAAAACAAACAAATAAAAAAAAATACAAAACCAAAAAATAAATTAAAAAAAAAGAAACAGATTGAAGTCTATCCCAATTTTTAATTTCGGTTTAGCTTGGTTGGATCACATTTCAATAACGAGTTTGAGTTCAAATTCAATAGTTAAAAAATCTGAATTTTAAGGTATTTGATTTAGGATGAAGCTGGAATTTGAAAGTGTTTGATTGAATGTGAAACTCAAATTCTCAATGTCTATAAAAGGGCGGTATCTCGAAAAAAAGAGAGGAAGAGGAGATTTGAGCGGGGGGTTTTAAGTAGCAACATTCATCAAAATTTTTCGACTGGGTTTGGGAGGTTCATAATTTCTAAGTTTTTTCGAGCCGAGCACCGGCAACGAGAGGACTCTAATATTACCACGCTAGCCTAATCAATTCTCGCAATTCGATGAAGCTCCACCGAGGATTGTCGTTTCGTGACGAGGTCTCCTATTTAATAAGAACTTTCGGTATAACAAATGATCATTTAATAATCGGGATGTCCTCCGATGCGTAGGTTGCGTCAAGGTTTGAAGTGGATCCGATGTTTGAGCCGATGTATCACCCGAAAAAGGGGACCGACGATCGTTTCAATATGATGCTACGCTCAAAACTAAAAAATCAAATTTTGCTAAAATAATTGTTTAAAAAAATTTAGAAAGCCAATTGGCATAAATGAACAATGTAGGAGATAAATTCGGGATTAAAACAAGATGTGGTACCTTTCTTCGGAAAGGGCACTTTTAGGGTGAATAATTACCTTCCTAAAGCTGTAACCAACTGCTTACCATAAAATCTCTAGACCAATGTTATTTTTAGGTTCCTCGTTCCTTAATACTAAGTGGTGACTCCAAGGCTCGTAAATAAACTTGTAAATATTAATCACATTTAGCATTTTAATTTTAGGAGTCCCATCCGACGTCGGATAACGACGACTCTCATGGGTTTTTTTCTCTAAGATAGAGATGGCTTTTCATGTAAATTTAATATTTTTATCATTGTGTTCTTGATTATTGTGTTTGCTTGACTTGATTATTTTCTTACAATATCTAATTTATTAAGAGAGAGATTAAATTCCCAACATACTAGTGGTGTATTACTACTCTAAATTTCTATATGTGGTTTATTCTTGTGAGCAATTAAATTCTCTTAGGATTCGATTAATTAAAAGACCGTAATTACCATGTCATCAAGCTGATATAGGTTCATTAACATATAGTCAAAGTAAATAACATTAAAATGAATTCAAAATTAATTGGATTCCAAGAGTGAAAAAGTTATAGTTTTAACATAGAAAAATTCCAATAAACTACATACAAAGTTTTTTTTCAATAGAAAAAACTAAAAGTGAGAGAGAGAGAGAACTAGCAAGTATAAAACTTGAAAGAAAAACTTGCAGTAAAATTTATGTGAAAAAAAGTCTGGTCAAAAAAAGGTTTTATGGTAAATTTTGCTCTCAAAGTATTGCAATTTAGCAATTTCGAGCCTAAAGTATTAAATTACATAATTTGAACTCTAAAATATTAATGATTAGGCAAATGTGCTTCAAATTACTCAATCTTAGTTATTTCTAATGTTCAATTATCAATTGATCTTTACTTTATATTTTTTTAAATGAAAGCTGACTCATCAGATATAAATTTCTTATTTATAATTCGTATTCACAAAAGCTAATCGGATTGTGATGTTCGTTAGAATATCCTAATATGTAACAAAATTTCAGCAACAAAATTTTACGTGTCTCTAGTCCTGAACCAAGGTTTTCTTTTTTTGTTTTTATAGAAATCTTGTTTCATTTCACTTCATTTCATTTTACTTTTTGAGAATCTTTTTTCATTATCTCGTACATATCTAAAATTTTTGAAGAATTATGATGTCCAAGTTATATTAAAAAAAATAAAAAATAGAAATCAAAGTTATGAAGCAAGTCAAGTCAATACTTGGAAATTAACAAATGTTTCTTGCATCCAAATTTTCAAACTTGAACTTATTGCCCAAGCCAAAACTCACTATAATAAGACTTGGCACAGCAGTAGACCTTGCATACTAATCTCATTAAAACAATGGCAGATGTGAAGTTACATGGTTTCTGGCCTAGCCCTTTTAGTCACAGAGTTATATGGGCTCTTAAACTAAAGGGTGTGGAGTATGAGTATGTAGAAGAAGACCTCTCTAATAAGAGTGAACTGCTATTGAAGTATAACCCAGTTTACAAGAAGATCCCTGTCCTTGTCCATGGTGGCAAGCCAATCGCGGAGTCTCTTGTTATCCTTGAATACATTGAAGAAACATGGCCGTAGAATCCATTGCTCCCAAAAGATCCTTATGAGAGAGCCATGGCTCGGTTTTGGATTCAATATGGAGTTACTAAGGTAAAGAGATCCATCCACTCACAAGTCTCATGGCATTCCTCATGTGTATATATTTAATTTCATGTGGATTACAATGATTGGTTTATTTGATAGCAGCCAATAAAAAAAGAAAAGAAGAAAGGATTCCAAAATTAACTTCGATGTTATTATTACTTTCCTCAGGATAAATAGTTCTATTTATTCGTTTTTTTTTTTTTTTTTTTTTGCAAGAAAAGAATAATTAAATCCTTCTGTTATTTAGGTTGCTGTCTTTAGTGCATTCATCCGAGCTAGTGCAGAAGAGCAAGGCAAGGCAGCAAAAGAATTGTTGGAAGTGCTGAAAGTCTTAGAAGAGCGATGCCTTGGAGATAAGAAGTTTTTCGGTGGGGACAGCATAAATCTAGTAGACATCTCGTATGGAATATTATCTTATTGGTTTGCAGCCATTGAAGAAGCAATAGGTGTAAAAGTGTTGGAACCGACCACATTGCCTCGATTGCATACTTGGACTAAGAATTTCCTTGAAGTTCCTCTGATTAAAGAAAACATTCCTGACAATGATAAGATGTTAGCCTACGTGAGAGGTGTCAGGGAGAAATTACTCAACAAGTAGCCTCTATAATGCCTTAATTTGGATGCGAATTCCATCTATGCCTCACTTTTCGTTTCCATGTATGGTTGCAAACCTTGTTTTTCTACGGTACTATAATAATGGTGATGCAGTTATTTCATTCCGGCCTGTTTGATCTAATTTCTAATCGTTAATTGGAAAATATTTATTTTGGATTTAAATAATTTTCGTGTATAATGCGGTCCTTATTATTTTCTACCTGCACAGTTCTGCTTGTATATTTCTTCTAGTTCGTGCTGAAAGTCTACTATTTTGTTGAAAAAGTTGCTGTCATAGATATTGTCTTGGTATAGCGGGATAGATTTTTTTGGTATGATTGCGGTTTTGATCCTTAAAATTTGATTCTTTAGTTCAGCTAGCTGCTAGAAGTGTTTTGTAATCATTCTTTGTTATCTTATTTGAATAACTGAGTAACTTTAATTACAGGCTAAGCAAATCTCAGTATCTTGCTATTGCTACAACAAATCAAACAACATACCAATGAAAAAACTAAAACAAATAAAATAAATATCATAACCTTACAGCCATATGATCTGTTGCATAAACAATCACTCATGATTCATGATATAGCCCTTTCTGCTCCTAATAATTGCAATATATACTCCGAAGTCATAATTAAGTAGCAGAAGTGCCATATCAGTTTGTTTTTGTTGGCTTGGCAGAAGATATTGCATGAAAGAGCCACAGAGACCCCTCTTCATCTTTGTGGACTGGAATTTTGCTACAAACGAGAGAGATATGAATTCATGGGGAAGTAAGAAACTACAATTGGAGCACCTGATGATTTTGATTTGCTTTTGGGTTGCTCTGCCTTATTAGGGGCTTCATCCGTAACCCTTGAAGAAGATGGAGGAACAAAGCAACTAAAAATGGCTGAGAAAGAAACCATTTTCTTGCTTTCTCTTCTTATCTGAAACAGTTATTCTTGATTAAGTATTGAAGTAGGCACTGTAGCTAACTAGTTATCTTTCTTTAGCTGAAGAATGTTTAAGTGGTAGTTTCTTGATGATCTTGAGAGGAAACCTGTCTATTTATTTTGAGCTAATATTTGGAAGTTTCTTTCATAATCTTGTTGTGCACGGAAATTGAAGTTTCTTGGTATGTAGCTACTTTGACTAATAGCCAAAACTTAGCTGAACCCATCCTCGCCTCCAGTAATATCTCTTTTTGGTGCCTGCTTTGCCCGCCAGCACATACTTACCTTCGGCAGTCTGCATCAAGTCATAAATTAAAGTTTCTTGATGATCTTGAGAGGAAGCATGTCTATTTATTTTGAGCTAATATTTGGAAGTTTCTTTCATAATCTTGTTGTGCACGGAAATTGAAGTTTCTTGGTATGTGGCTACGTTGACTAATAGCCAAAACTTAGCTGAACCCACCCTCGCCTCCAGTAATATCTCTTTTTTGGTGCCTCCTTTGCCCGCCAGCACATACTCACCTTCTGCAGTCTGCATCAAGTCATAAATTAAGACATGGAAGTCTTTGCTTGGCACTTTCTACTGGACCCTATCCTAGCTTATTGATAAACACAAGGTTTCAATATTCAACGTAACAAAGCTTAATTTTACTTCAAAGTACAAAATAAGAACCTACCATGGTAGCCTGGCATGAGAAGTGGCGAAGCTAATCAAGGGAGCTGGAGGGGGCAGTCGCTACCTTTTAAAAGTGCGTGTATATATATATATAATTTTTTTAAAAAAACAAAGGAATGATCAAACAAAATAGCGAATGAAACTTGAACGTGCGAGAATAAACTTAATATGTAAACCATTCAATATTGCAAAAACACATCTACTATTTCATAATTTCGCCAATAGTTGACATAAAGAGAAAAATCAACTACTACTACACTTGTTTAAAAGAGATTGTTGATTATTTTGAAATTAATGAATTCAATAATTAATGAGTTTTATATGGTGAAAAAATGTCAAGAAAAAAATCAAGAACCTAAAGGAAATAACAAATGGAAGAATTCAGCATGGATGCCATCTTTATAGTGTTCTGATATTTCTCATTATAACTTATGTGGATGTTTATCATTAATTAGAAAGATCTTCTCATACTTTGAAATTCCAGAATTTTTAAAAATATTTTTTATTAAGAAAACTTAAATTATTACATAAATGATTTTATTTATCTAAATTTAATTAACTTTTAATAGTTTTATGATTTTTTTTATTCTAAACCATACATGTGACATGATCTGTATCGTTTGCTGAAATCAATAACAAGATTCAGTCAACCATCTAATATATCACTAACGAAAATTGTGGTTAAAAACTTCTCAAATAAAAACAAAAAATGTCGGGGTTAAAAACTCTCAAAAATTGCAAGTGAAAGGGTTACTGTGGAGCGAAATTCGGATAGAAGGATCAATATAACCAAAAATTAAAAATAAAGGAGTTTAAGTGATTTTCAACCAGGAGAATGAACAGGAAGTAATTAATAATCTTGGGCTTGAATTTTGTAAACATAACGAAGATCATAACCTAATTCTGAGAAATTAAAATTTAGTTTATACTACTTAGATATCTGCGTCATGGCGCGGTCGGGGCATCACCAGATACAACAATCGCGTAATTTTTTCTATGACAGAGAAATTTTTTATTGAAGGAAATCCAGTTGATGCATACCGTAGCAGTTGTATCAAAAGAATGCTTTATATATATATATATATATATATATAGTTTTTCCTCTATGATGCATACAGTAGCAGTTGCATCGAAAGAATGCTTCAGTAACATCACCATTGATTATCATCGAAGCTTTAGCTATGTCATTGTTGACGACGCAAATGACGTGATGCCTATATTTGGGGAAACAAATGAGTTACATGGTTAAAAAAGACAATGCATTAACATATGAAGAAAAACTAAAGCAATAAAAGCAGTTGTTATGTTCTAAAAAAAGGGGTTTTTTTTTCGTAAAAGGCTACTACAGAATGATATTTTCAGGTAGTATCCCATTAATTGAGCAACAATAGGCATCCATGCATTTTATAGCGACTCCATGGCATTCTGGGCATATATTGTGTTGAAAAGAACAATGACAGCTGTCGTGCATAAAAAGTTAGGTAGGAAATAAGCAAAGCAAATCGAAGTGAGAGATACTTCGGCCTTATTTTTTTTCCTCTAAAGAAACGGAGGCAACTTTTTTTTTCTTTTTTCTTTTTGGCTGGAAGTGAAATTTATTTATTTATTATTATTATTATTATTATTTTGCAAAACCTGTGTATTGTTAATGACCGGTTAGTGCAAGTGTTACATGCATATTCCTAATAGTTTGGTAATTTTCACATGTTTTTTAATATTTATAAAATTATCAAAAACAATTCCCTGTCTCGCTGGATTTATCACTTCCTTCCAATCAATTTATTTCTTTTCCCTTTATACCAAATCAGATAGTTTTAAGCTATTGCTTGTTGCTCTATTCCAAACCTATACACAGTACACCAACAATGCAACGAAAGATGCTAAGACCACATAATCACTTAGACAATATCAAGAAAACTCTTTAAATTAACGAGAATTATTTGTTTATCGCATGGTTCTGTTCATGTGTTTCCAAAAACAATATTTATACATTAAAATAGGTCCTTTTAAATTGGATTGGCATATGTCCGAACCTTGGTCGAGAATAGGGGTGTTCACTATTCGGTTAAAACGAAATACCGAATCGAATTAATAATTTCGATTCGGTTTTTTTTAAATACATTCGGTTTTCACCGAAAACCGAATGTTAAGCAAAGTTAACTTACAAAACTAACAAAAGTTACAAAACATCGAAGACCGAAACCCTAACTCCCGTCTCGCCGTCCGTCTCCCTAAGTCCTTACTCCTTCCCGACTCCCGAGTTCCTGCTTCGCTTGCCTCGCTTCCTTCAAAGTTCAAACTTCAATCCTTCTCTTTTAGACTTTCACAAATCACAATCGATGCTTCATGCCTTCATCGCTTCGGTGCTTCCGGACTTTCGGTTCTAGCAACGAAAACTCAAAAGGTCAATTTTTTTTGTGGTTAAATGCTAGACTTTTGATTAATTTCATTTTTTTCCTGAATCATTTATAAATTTGTGTAATTAAAATGAAACCATTGGATTGTTGATGGGTTTAATGCTTCGGGTCTTACAACTTCTTTTATTGTTGAAGTTTCTATGATTCTGTCTCTTTTTCATTCGAAACCTAATATGACTATATGAGAAATTAGTAATTGACTATATAGTATTTGCTTTTAGGTTTTCATGAGGAAGACTTTTGATTTTTTTCATTTGGGAATTGGGATTAGATAGTAGGGTGGCCAGCTCTGGCTCGCAGTCATAGCACTGTGCACTTGACGATGGACACTATCCACTCGTTTTAACTTTTAAAATTTAAATTTTTAATACTATAAACTTGTATTTAATAATCATTTCTAATCAAATATATTCTTGAATTTGTGTAGATTTTAAGATTCTCGGATGCTTGAAGTTACGAGTTCAACTCATCCAAAACCGAGTCCAACAACGAGATACAATTGTTGTTGGCTCTTCATCAAACACACAAATGAGCACAAAGATGAAGAGAAAAGCAATGAGGCCAATGTCGCTTGTATGGGACCATTTCACAAAGTTTGAAGATGAAAATAAAGACATCAAGGGGAGATGTAATTATTGTGATAAGGTACTTGTTGCTCATCCTACTAGAAATGGTACTACTGCACTTAAATCTCATATGGCCATATGCGAAAACCACCCACATAGGCTTGACCTTACCTAATCAAAATTGAACCTTCAATCTAATTCAAGTGTTCAAATGGGAGAAAGCACTCTTAGCATATGAAAGTTTGATCAAACTTGCATTAGAAATGCTTTAGCTTACATGATTATTGTGGATGAACTTCCTTTCAAATTTATCGAGAATGTGGGGTTTAAGTGGTTTATGTCAATTGCACAACCTAGGTTTAAAATTCCATCACGGGTTACCATTTCAAGAGATTGCTATCAATTTTATATGTATGAGAAATTAAAGTTGAACCAATTTTTGAAAAATAATTATCAAAGAGTTTATCTTACTACGGACACATGGACGTCTATTCAAAGAATTAATTATATGTGTCTAACGACTCATTTTATTGACAATGATTGGAAGTTGCATAAAAAGATTCTAAATTTTTATCCGGTTGATGGTCATAAGGGTATTGATTTGGGTAGTGCTATTGAAAAGTGTTTGATTGATTGGGGAATTGAAAAAGTTTTCACTATTACTATAGACAATGCAAGTTCAAATGATGTGGCGATTAGATATTTGAGAGATGTTTTGAATAATTGGGGTAATAGCATCTTAGATGGGGAATTACTTCATATGAGGTGTATGGCTCATATTTTGAATCTTGTTATTTCGATGGGTTAAAAAATACAAATCCTTCGATCCTTCGTGTTCGAGCAATTGTGAGGTATATTAGACAATCTCCTGCTAGGTTGAGAAAATTTAAGGAATACATAGAGATTGAAAAGATTGATTCTAAAAGTTTATTACATCTAGATGTTTCAACTAGATGGAATTCAACTTATTTGATGTTAGATTCAGCTCAAAAGTTTGAGAGAGCATTTAAGAGATATGAGCAAATTGATCATTTATATAGTATTGAACTTAATGTGGATCTTGGTGATGGGGCATTTAGGCCACCTAGTGTTGGAGATTGGAGGACTTGTAGGAAAATGGTGACAATATTGAAAAATTTCTATGACCTTACTTTGTCTATTTCGGGTCATTCATATGTCACTTCAATAATTATTTTGATGAAATTTATATGCTTAAAGCTGATTTAAGGGAATGGTAAGAGTGTGCTTGATGATGATACTTGTTCAATGGCTAGTAAAATGAGAGAAAATTTTGATAAGTATTGGGGGGATATGAAGAAAATGAATAAGTTGATTTATATTGGAGCCGTGCTTGATCCAACACATAAACTTACTTATGTTGCATTTACATTAAATGAATTGCATGGTGATTGCCTTGGAGAAAAGATGACAAATGATGTGAAAGAATGTACATATTCCTTATATCCTTCATATTGCAATTTATCACCAAATCAAGGTCTTAGTGGTCAAAGTAATGGGATTACGAAGTTTCAAGTGTAAGTGATGGAATGGACACCAATCATGCCATAAAGAAAAAAAATAAGACACTTGCGAGGATGTCATGATTTCAAAAATTCAATAAAAGTGAAGATGGAGATAAAAGATCAAATTTGGATAAGTATCTTCGTGAATCTGTCGAAATTGGAGATGAAAATTTTAATATTTTAGAGTGGTGGAAAAACAATTCTCTTCGGTTTCCTATTCTTTCAAAAATGGCTCGTGATGTGTTGGTTGTTCCAATATCTACTATTCCTTCCAGAATCAACATTTAGCATTGGAGGAAGAGTTTTCGATGCCTTTAGGAGTTCTTTAACTCCTAGCATTGTGCAAGCTCTTGTATGTGCTCAAGATTGGCTTCGAAATTCGATGCTAATTACTACTGAAGAAGATTTACAAGATGTTGAGAAACTTGAAGCCGGTAAGTTTTTCAATTCTTATATTTTTATGTGTCTTTTTTCCTTCCAAATAAATATTAAAGACTT